GACTGTAGAATTTCTGTTGCACTGCATTGTACCACAGGAGAGTCCTAGTTCCTGGCAAACATCCTCATTTCTTATACGAAGACTGGGATTAATTGCTTTTTCTCTCTTATTTGGGGAGACTGAAAAAGGATTCCCAGTTACAGAATTCTTAAAGGAATCTGGGCATTGAGTTCAAGCAAACTGCAAGTTTTGGTGGTAAACATTAGTAGCTTGCTGCAGAGAACAGGAGTGCTTGGCCTAGTTCACATTTAAATCATAGTGATTACATTTACCTCTCATATAGCTCAAAAGAACAATTGTTGGTTTTGACCTGCGAAAAGTAATACTGTAATGGCCGTTCTATCCTGATGAGAAAATGAAAGGTGTTTCCCATCTCCTGTTATGCTTTGATAAGACTTCTATCTGGGGACTAGAGGAACATGTTATAAGGCCTCAATCTGGTGGCTGTTATTTTGCCCGGGTGCCTCCACTGCTACATAAACAGCACTAAGTGGTAGGACATTTGCATGCTAAAAGACTTGCCCTTCCTACCTATAGCGTCACTGAGGTAAAAGCTGGGGTTATTGTGATTGTTGACTGTTGTGTATGGAATCAATTTGTGTTTGCTTCCAGTGAATTTCATTCCATGCAATTAGAAGTAACCACCTCTGTTTTTATTGGAGCTCTTCAGTGTTGCCTTAGAGAGTCGCATAGCATGTTGTCTCCCAAGCCAAACATAGCCCACCCACCATGTTATGTAATGTGACAGATGCTTGACCGCAATCTTGCTAGTCCATTTTTGTAGTCCCAGGTAGACAAAACCCAAAGCCTGGGGGCTTACGTGTCACTTGGTGGAAAACTAGTTATGAGCTCTCCTGTTCTACTAGTGTGTTTAGTGAACAAGTTGCAAAACTTTCCCAGATGATATCTTAAGAACCAATTTAAAAAGCAATGAAAAAGTCACTCCAATCCTCAATAGTGTACTTTTAAATTTAATGGTTTTCAGCACAAACTATTTTCATGAAAAATATCTAGGATTGCAGCTTTATTATAATTCTGTTGCAATTTTTCATCTGGAAAAAATGTAGTCGCTCAGTAATCTGACCTTGAAACTTCTTGCATTTCCAGATGTGGCCTTAATTCAAGAAATGTCACTTAACAGGTAATTTAGTAAGTCATTTAGAAATTTTATTAATTCCTTTTTAAGACCTGTTTAATAGCGTCAACCTACGATTCATTCATAGGTCCTATTTCATCTCACACTTCTGAAATGCAAATAGGTTGAATGCAAAATAGACACCACCAACCTCCGTTTTGCTGTTTACTCTGTACTGGGTCTTTGGGATCTTGTGTCATATGCGAGAGTTTTGAGAGGGACTGCACCTCTGCCTTGGGTTTTTTTCAATTAGCAGAGACTAACCCAGAAAAATATAGACATGTTGTATGGTGTTAAGGAGCCATCAGTAGGTTGGGTATCTGATGGTGCTTTGTGGCTGCAATCTACAAAAACAAAAACCATTGCCAGGAATGTGTGGGTGCTTTAAACAGCTGCATGGCTTGAGAACAGCCTGGTATCCAGCTTTCAGGAATGTACAGGGGGTTTTGGCACTCAACCACACAGAGTGAAGTGAGTGGCATTACTACAGTGGTTTGTTTTATTGAATCATGCTCTTTATTATCCAAAGGGTTGTCTTGTATCCATATGAAGACTTGAACTTCTTAGTAACTATATCTAGTTTGAGTGATGTGATTTTGCCAGTTCCATATTTGTAGGTAACTGGTCAGTACTGAGGGTTTTTTTTATTTCTGTGTGTTCCCTACAATTCTGCATTTTTGGATACTTTTTTCCTTATTTAATATTTATTTAATTTATTGTGTCCCACGCACTGATGTCAGGCTGTCAGTCCTGCAAATAAACATTTGAAACCCACGTTCTTTGGAAGTTCTATTCTTAATTTAACGTGAGTCCTATGTTGTAACAACTATCAGACTCCACGAAATATGTTATTCTCTAAAGGGGAGCAACAAAAACATCCCTATTTATACTGACATTCTTAAACATATAAACAGAGTTCCTCCTATCTTGTGCAATGATTCTGTATGTTTTCTAAATTTCCCTATAATGCCAACATTTATCAGCATAGTTTATTTTTAAATTAGCTGTCACTCCTGCCTTTTTATTTGATGTCTAATGATATTACTATTAAACTTTTAAAGTAAAGGTATGCTACAAATGCATACATTTCTTACAAGAGAAAAGTATCTAATAATACTATCTATGCCCATGATCCATTTTTTTTTTTTTTTAGGAAATACTTTCAGGCTGTGAATAGTCATGAGTAACTTAGTGTTGAAAACATAAGCAAATACAAATAATATATTGGGTTTTTGATGCTTTTGAGAAATCTAAAATGTAATCCTGATGCTGCTTCATTGGACAAACATGATCTGATCTTCTACAAATTTACATGAACCATGTGTTGCTTGCTTCTCTTTTTTAATTTTTCCTAGTAGACTCAAGGTGGGTGAAAAACTACTTCAAAGACTTTTTGTTGAAATTAAATCATTTCAATCATGAACTACACTATTTTATTTATAAATTAATTGAAATTATATTTTTTGAAAAACAGGGAACATCTGTCATAAAGTGTGTGGGTGTGTATACGCATACATACGCACACATAATGACAAAGGCAGAAAATCAGTGTAATACCCAAGATGACTACTACCACACGGACTACCGCAGACATCATCATATGCTGAGGAAAATAAAAGGAAAATGACACACCAGAACAGGGCACAGAGATTATTAATCCATTAACAAAAAGAACTAAGTGGCAAATTATAAAAAAATAGCTGATTATTAGTCAAGTTAATCTTTTTGAAGCCAAATAAATTATTAACCTGTTCAAACATGAATGAGTTTAATATTCTATAAAAATTACTACTTTAATTTCCTGTTCTAAAAGCATTTAAAATCTGTAGCTGTTCTCACTGCATAACAATTAAGGTCAAGAGAATGGTAGTACTTTTAAAACTTTTAAAAACTTCAGACATAGTTTCTATAACAGTAAAATTCCTTCATTAAAAAGTTGTTTTAAATCTTTCGGTAAAATGAATATTGTTAAAATGAAAAATCAAATTAAATTAAATTAAATCACAGAGGATTTAAATAAACTATAGACTGAATCTAGAAACTGACCCATACTAAGAGAAAAAAATTCCCCTGGAGAAAAAAACTATTGTATTTGTGAACCAATAGATAGCTTGGTCTTTTCCTCTGAGAACCCAGAAAGTTTTTAATGACTTTTTGAATCCTGTTGGCCACCCATAATCAACTGAATCAACCTTTTCACAACTCAGTGAATGTGAACCTTTGGAACAACGGAGCGAGGGCTGTAGCTGCCTCCTCTGGCTCGTTCGCCCTTTCCCAGCGGGAGACCCGCAAGGAGGATCGGATCGGCAGGGGGTGGTCGCAGGCAGGGGCAACTGCTGCTTCCCGCTGCGTACCCGTCCTCTCTGGGATCTTCCCCCACGTGGTGCTTTCCAGATATATGGGGCCTTGGGGCTCCGCTCCGCTGGGCTAGCTAGCACGGCTGTTCTGACTGGGGAACGTGAGAGGGCAACGTATCCGGAGGGCGCCGGGTTGGAGAGCACTACTTGCCCGCAGCCCGGCTTGATGGGAAGGCTCAGGGCCGCGGGCTGCTCAGAACGAAGGTTGCTGCAACGGGGGCGACTGAGCCCGGTTGCCGTGGCTCTGCTGCTCAAAGGACCCCGGCAGCTGAGCCAGGGCGGAGAAGAGACCGGCGGCCTCCTTGGGCCGGCGAAGGCAGAAGCTGAGCCGAGCG